GGGACAGGGGTGTGGATAGTGGTCGGGGTGGTCAGATGGCAGGGGTTCTGGGGGCGGTCGGGGTGGATGGGACAAAGGTCCTGGGGAGGCCGTCAGGGGGCGGGGGCGGGGGGGGGTTGGATGGGGCGGGGGGGCATCAGGGGGCGAGAAGCGGAGGGGGGTTGATGGGGGGGGGGCTGGGCCACACAGGGCTGTTTGAGGAGGCACAGCCTCCCCTAACTGGCCCTCTATACAATTTCCGAAACCCGATGCAGCCCTCAGGCCAAAAAGGTGGCCCGCCCCTAATATAGATGGTGGCAGATGCTCTTGAAGGCTCGAAGGTCCTGTCTTAAAATGGCATACCAGACTGAATTCTCAGGCCTTGTGGTGGCATTACAGAGCAATTAGAAGTCACTGCATCCTGAGAGATGCCATCCTGCAGATGAGATGTTACATTTGGAGAGAAGTCCCATCTAAAGTTATTCTAGATCAGTGGTTCTCAAACTTTTTTTTTCCGCGGACCACTTGAAAATTGCTGAAGGTCTCGGCGGACCACTTAATGATCTTTCCAAAAGTTGTTTGTATCGTTAGATAACTATTGTAAAGCACTTTGGATAAAAGCGCTATATAAAAGTGCTATATATAAAAAAAACCTTTAACTTTTTTTGTTTTACAAATAAAATCACACAACTCATATTTTCGTATCAGTAGTTTTACCTTTCAGATGCGATGGATCTGTCTCCCGCCATGGCAGCCCCCGAGCTGGGGCTGGGGGGGTCTCTCCCTCTCTCCCCCGCCACCACAGCCCCTGAGCTGGGGCTGGGAAGGGGAGGGTGTCTCTCCCTGCCACAGCAGCCACAGAGCTGAGGCTGGGAAGGAGGGCCTTTCTCCCTGGCAGCTACAGCCCTTAAGCTGGGGAAAGTCGCCTCTTTCTCTGTCCACTGTAGCCCTGCACATCCCAAATTCCCCCCACCCTCTCTTCTCACCCCACTGTCCCCTCCCACCTACCCGCTATTCCCCCCAAAGCCACCACCTCACCTTACATGTGCGTCTTCTCCAGGGTCCAGGCACCTAATTAGTGGAGCCATGCCTGCGTGGCTCCACTAATTAGGTGGGTGGCCCTTCATTCTCTCGTGTGCAGCTGCCCAGGCACGCACCTTAGAGGGAACTATCCGCGGACCCCCTGAATGGAGCTCGCAGACCCCTGGTGGTCCACAGACCACAGTTTGAGAACCTCTGTTTTAGATGTTTTAGACCACGTTGATCAGAGAATGGCTGCTGCATGCCATTGGCAAGTCACTTCTTTTCCAGTATCTAACTCATCCCATTTTCAGAATACCATAAGCATGAAGGTCCCTTTATAAATAATAAAAATAATTAGAAGTGGCGCGGCTAGCGATGCCCATAATTAAGGTTGCATGACACTTGCCATTCTGACCCTGTTTTGTACTTGCTTATTGTTTTCAAACTTCATTGTGAAGTGAACTGTGAAGCCCAGAGCTCTGCTGGACCAGCTATCTGCGCTGGGATAAGCTGGGAAAGCAGGGCCCGATTCGAATACCCGGCGGCTTCAGCAGCACTGAAGGACCCCCCGCCACCGAAGTGCCGCCAAAGACCCGGACCACCGCCGGGTGAGTACAAAAAATTAAAAAGGCGCCTAAGGCGCGGAGCCCTCTTAGGCACGGGCGCGGGGCCCTCTTAGGTGCAGGGCCCAATTCCAGGGAATCGGCGTAAAGCCGGCCCTGAGGGAAAGAACACACAAACACTCAAGCCAACTAACAACATCAAGGTTGCAAAGTCAAGCACTCCAAAATTAGAAAATGCCCAAATTAATATTTTTGCCCCCTTGAGCCATATGCATAATGATGCAGTCTTTAATGACATGCTCTCATACTGTTTTTGTAATTTTGTATATACTACATAACTATAAAAGAAATAACAGAATATCTGAGCCCTCTTTCTGATAGAATTATACCCCCTGATTAATATAAATTGAGCTTTACCCTGGCTGGGTCTGGGTGAAGGAAGATGCAATGACTTCATGTCCCTTGTCAGTGTCCTCCGAGGAAGTCTAGGTGCCAAGGCTATTTTGGATGCTGATCCAAAATGCTAACAGGTTTACCCTCCATAGACAGTGCCTCAGCCACTGAAGTTTTGACCTAAAGCAGGTTGCTATGCAAAAAGGTGTTATGGACCTTTTATTCCATACTCTTATCTATAACCCAAGCATGGTTTATTGCTCCTGTTTTGGAGGATGTTTCAGGAAGACTTAGAAGGGGTTCAGTTTGATTTAGAAGGGTTTCCTTTTTTCTCACCTTGGCTATAAGCGCATTCTTCTAAGTGGTGGATGACCATCAGAGGTTTCTTGCTAAAAGGACATGAAAAAGGTGGCATGTCAGATCATTTATAGAAAACACTAACGTATAAGCAACTATGTTGTTACAGGGTTATAATTGCAGTGGGGTTCTGATGCTGCTAAAAGCCACATCCAGGAACTATGAGAAGAGCTTGATTGTTTGTCAGTGGATCTTCCAAGTATACTTCCCATACTATAGTCTTGTGCATTGCTTAGCTGTTATAAGTGGAATGTCCCTTCATATTCCAAGTCTATGGCTATTCGATCATATGGAGGTGGTGCTATACAAAGAAAGGATCATGTACAAAGATTCTAGTGAAACCATAACATGCAAATGAAGTTTAATGAAACCAGAAAGAAACTACATTCTCATAACTCTCTTCAGCCTGACTGATTTTATAATATAGAAGTCCAAGACTTTTGAAGTCTGAAAGCTTTCAGTTAGAGCAGCAACTGCATTAGAAATTAATCTGATAAATACTGTGGACCCAATCCTACAAGCTGCTCATCTCCTGGGAGGTCACCTCCCACCGATGTTCTATTCAGCTGCTCTTTAAATCAAAGGATTGAAAGGCACTTGTTATCTTGGAGAATCAGGCTTGTACAAGGAAAACTAAGATGAGTCTCTGTCAGGGTGTCAAATGACGTAAGTGGAACTGTAGTTCCTAGAATGTTCATGAGCTTTAGTTTTTCCAAAGCCGTTGTGGGCAGGGGTTGCTTTTTACAATATATTGGTACAGTGCCTAGCTTCAATGGAATATCCGTTCTGAGTAGGGCCTTGCTCAGTGCTGGAATACAAATCAATCATAACACAATCATAGTCCATGGTTTTAGCATCATATTAGCACATTTTGCCTATTTAAACAATAGCTTCTTGTAGAATTACCACCAGTGTCCCTATGTAAATCCTTTTATGATGCAGCAAAATAAGAATAACTAAAGATTACCTGTTTCTTGATCTAGTTAAAGCTTCTTCATATGTCTGAACCCATTCAATTTCATCACCCCATCCTATAGAGAAGAAGATAGATAGATTAATTTCATTTGTGTACAAATGGCACAATTGATCTCTGGAGCAGGTGGATGTCCGGACTTTGCTGACCAATGTCGCCAAAGGCTAAATGTTGTCTGCTACTCATCACTCCTTTTATCCAGGACAAAGGGGAATGAAGAACTTGGAATCTCTCTGAGGGAGGAAGCTTGGGAAAAAAATGGGAACCACATAAAATGCATTTAAGCTCTGCCCAATCCATGTCTCACCTGCAAAGTATTGAACAATTTTCACTAGACACCTGGTAGACTACAGGATAGGAATGTCACATTATTGCACTCTACTACAGATGCAGCCACTCACATGGTTCAGTAACACACATGCTTTTGTTCTACTAGATGATACCCCCAGGTTTCTGTACCCACTTTTCACAAACACTAAACTACCCATTATCCCTTCATTTAAAACACCTCCTTTCATGGAGGATGGCCCCATTCCATACATCTTTTTCTTCTATGGTCTAACTTTATCCACATACAATAATGAACCCATTTACTTAGCATACAATGGGCATAGGAACAAGAGTTGCCACAATTCATAAATGCCTTCCAATCTCATCCTTGTCTCCCTTTTTGTAATAATCCTTTTTTTCCCCTCTGCGTGTGTCTATGTGAAGACTGGGACCTTACTAGATTTACTCGTTTTCTTGATAAGACCAATCAGGTATATTCCTTTGATCAATTATATGACAATTACCCAAATATACATTATTTCAATATTTCCAAACATCTACATTTTACAGGACAGTTGTGCTTTAGTGATTAGATACACACCCAACTTTGAAGAACATTTAAGAAATCTAACAACAGAAGCAGGTTGTCAACAATCTACACAATACTTTTCAAAACTTGGGATTTTCCACATTCTATATGTAGGCCCAGACCCACAGCTAGTGCAAAACAAGTTTGCCCACCTGTAGTCAATGGAGCTACATCAGTATAGGACAGCTGAGGATCAAACCCATAAACAGTTGGGGGCTGGATACTAAAACTCATGATTTTCACTCTACAAATATTGCTGTCCTCCTCCTCCTGGTCCCTGGCCTTGTGCCTGGCCCCTAGGAAGGAAAGATGCTGCCCTGACTCTCAGCAGAGGAGCAGCTCGGAAGGAAGAGTGGAGCTGGCTGCAGTCAGGAGCCATAGCTGCGGACATCAGCCTGCCAAGATGGGCAGGAGGGGATGGCACAGCTGAACCTGCTGGCAGAAGGCTACGTTTGCGGCTGCTTCCTGCCTATATTGAGCTTAACCTCTAAGTAGTTGAATGGCAGCCAGCAACTTGGGACAGGGTGAGCAACTTCAGACTCCGCTCCCTCCCCTTCACAGCCCATCCAAATTTGGGTCTGGAAGCATTGTAGTCCCATACAAGCTGAAAGCTGTGGAAGATGTCCCAACCTCCCCAAGGACCAAAGGCAGGATTTACTGGCCTTCAGGGCCCAATCAAAGTAGTACCTCTTTAAGTAACGGTTTGGGACTATATTTCTGAATGGCAGTGAGGGAAGGTCTCCCAGCCACTGACTGTAACTATTGGGAAGCAACAGAAGTCATTTGACTACCTGGGTGCATGGGTGATATTCATGTTTATACATTATTTTTGCGAAGGTAAGATGCCCAGAAGTTATGTGGGTGGGCCTCACATGGAAATGCTAAGACAGATAAATGCTTTGCTCAGAGACTTCACCATCTCACCTCGGGAGAGAGTTTGAGGCATCCTTATCCATGTGATGTTCTCCTCCTCCTCCTGCTCCTCCTGCTCAGGGACCTTTTGTAGTTTTCTCTGGGCAGCTACCACCAGGGCATTGCAGAGGAGGAGAGAACACAGTAACTGAAAGGAGTGCATGTTTTCTGGAAAGTAAATTCAGAAGGGTCTAGTGTTAAGAGAGAAAATCTTTAGACAGCTTCCGCGTAAGACAATACAACTTTGAAATGCCTATAAGCCATGTCTCATGGACACCTCACTTCAGCAGAAGTTACTCAGGAAGCATTGTTTCTGGTCAAAGCACCTTGTTTGCTTATTGTTGGAGCAAATGATTATGAATAACCCAACAGGATCTTGGGTCTCCATCTATACTGAGCCACTGGATCTTGGACTTCAGTGATCCACCCCTCAAGAAAACTAGAGGAGCTTTCCTGCATTGACAAACATTTCTATGTATCTTATTACAACTGCACCTCTGAATTTTTTCTTTAACTCTGAGGTCAAAAGTTTCCAACCTCATTGCCTAAAAATAGGCTTCCAAATCCACTTTAATCAAAGTGGCCTGATTTTCAAAGGTGTGCTGGTCACTTGCAGCTCCCACTGGCTTCAATGGGAGCTGGGGTTGCTCGGCAGCTCTGAAAATGAGACTTTTATATTTATATGCTTGTAGCCAAAAATGAATCAGCTACGTTTGACAATGTTGGTTTGACATTGCTTCATGGATCAGTGTGTGATGTCAAATACGCCAGCAACAATCCTTTACAGCTCTTGAAATAATTTTTTTACAGATTTTTACTTATTTTAATTTCTTTGTTACAGTTTTTAACCTACAGAATAGCAATGACAGCTGTAGGAACTGCAGCAAGGAGCAAGCATACACCTTGGAAAGGAAATGCGTATCCTTTTCAGGAAAAAGATAGTCCTATAAAAATGCATTTTCTTAGAATGATTTTCTTACCTGGAACCTTAGGCTGAAGTCTCTGAGCAGACTGTGAAAATGCACCTCTTCCAGTTATTCATCTGTGGTAGGAATAAGTAAGCTAACAGTTATTTATACCCCTGTATTTGCTTAGTTAGTGAGGATGAATGTCAACTGAAATTCCAGGATATCCTGCTCTTGGCAAAGTGCAGAACAACCTTCCTACAATAGTTTTCTTTTAATCGACACAGCCGTGTGCTTGGTTTTAATCATGGGATAGTGATTAATGAAAGTATTCACTGTAGTGTTTATACTAGACACACCTTCTTCTATCATATATGCTTCCCTAAGCATGGGCTATGTGCCTCTAAGCCACGAGCTGGTCTAAGATTTTGGTCTAAATGCATATGAAAAGTTTATTAAGAGGAAATCACATATGTAATTTTATTTTTTTTTAGTTTCTTAAATTCTTCAAAAGAGTTAGTGTCATTTCTGTTCAAAACCATTTGAAGAACCTTTTTCAATGGATATTGTTTGTTAGCACTCTGCAGCATCTCAAAGGTGCCTTATAATGTAATCAATTCTTTTTTCATTTTCGCATATTACTGTAGCTTCAGCTACACAGGACTGAATTATGGTAGAGTGGCTAACTCCCTGCATCAGCCTGGTTGGCTGTGTCAGTAAACTCTCACAACTACTGTAGATTGTAAGGCTAGTGCATGGAAAGCATCTGGCCTCTCTCTTAACATCCAGTGTAACCCATTAGACCAGCTGTCCATGCCCACAATGTACTTGCGTTTACAAAAGGCTTTAGTTTAAGGTGCTTTAGAAGAGATTAATTATTAAGGAAAATAAGCTACCACAATGTAAAGGGCAAAATCCTCTTGTGAACTGAACCATGTTGAAGCCATAGAAAACAGCAGTATAATAAAAGAGCTGATCCAGGGAAAGAGCAGTAAATGAATGGGATAATCTAGGTGGTAGCATGAAGATTAGTGTTACAATACAAACCGGGGGTCCTGTAACATCATAAACGAGGAGTGGCTAAACTTACTGACCCTCTGAGCCGCATATGATAATCTTCAGAAGTTCGAGAGCTGCAAGACACAGACCTGCCCTGCAGGGCGTGGGGCTAAAGCCCTTAGACCCTCCTCCCTGCAGGGCAGAAAACCCTAGTCCCCCCACCCTGCTGCAGGGCAGAAGCCCCGAGCTTCTCCCCCCCACTTGCAGGCCCAGTTTGGTGGGGGAGAAGCGTGGGGGTGGGGGGTCCGCAAGGCACATTTTAACTGTAAAAGAGCCACATGTGGCTCACGAGCTGCAGTTTAGCCATGCCTGTCATAAACCATGGCCAAGGGAGTCTTCCAACCCCCCACAGGGGATTATAGCCTTGTTCTTTAAAACAATATTTTTAAATATATTTCACCCGAAATACTACATTAAAAGAAAATGATTGAGATTGCAAAGTCAAGCACTCAAAAGTGAGGAAATGTCAGATTTACAGTTGCCTGTGTAACCATAATTTGGCCCCCTTGTATATCCATCCTGTGTACTGACTGAGGAAAAAAATAGCATGTGAGCATGTAATTAAAGACTGTTTCACAATGCATATGCACAAAGGACTGAATTAAGGCTGCACAGGCAACTGTATAGCTGGCATTTCCTAACTTTCAAGTGCTTGACTTTGCAGCTGAAATAATGGTCTTTCAACAGTTTTTCTGTGTGTAGTTACCTAAGTGTGTGTGTTTTATCCAAAACATTCTCCTTTGTGCTTGAATCTTCTGTAGGGTTTGAACCCAGGGCCTTCAGCACAGATTGCTGCCTAAGCTCTAGGTAGCAGTAGGAGGAGGCTATTGTTCCAGATAGGTTGGTGTGGGGCAGGGTTCCTGCCCATCTCTCTCTTTCTGCCCGGGAGTTGGAGGAGTTCCTGCCTAGGTGGTGCTTCTGGGGGCAGTGTCAATGGCCACTGGGGCCATGCAGTGGGTCTGCAGATGTATGGGGGAGTCCAGCTAAGCTCTCCTCCTCCCCTCTTCCTACTATAGCTGCTTGCTGGTGTTCCCAGTCCAGTGTGTGATGCTGCTGCTTGGCGTGAGCCTGGATCTCCAGAATGTTCAGTGAGACTTACTAGAAAGCCTCACTAAAGTCAAGATATACCACATCTACCTCTTCCCCCCATCCACAAGGCTTGTTACCTTGTCAAAGAAAGCTTTTAAGTTGGTTTCACACAATTTGTTTATAAATCCATGCTGACTGTTACTTATCACCTTATTATCTTCTTCTAAGTGTGTACAATCTGATTTCTTAATTATTTGCTCCATTATCTTTCTGGGTATTGAAGTTAAGCTGACTGGTCTGTAATTCCCCAGGTTGTCCTTATTTCCCTTTTTGTAGATGGGCACTATATTTGCCCTTTTCCAGTCCTCTGGAATCTCTCCCATCTTCCATGACTTTTCAAAGATATCTAATATCTAATGGCTCAGATATCTTCTCAGTCAGCTCCTTGAGTATTCTAGGAAGTATTTCAGCAGGCCTTGGTGACTTGAAGACATCTAACTTGTCTAAGTAATTTTTAACTTGTTCTTTTCCGATTTTAGCCTCTGATCCTACCTCATTTTCACTGGCATTCACTAAGTTAGATGTCCAATCACTACTACCCTTTTTTGTGACGCAAAACAAACAGAAAATATAGGGGTCACTACCACAAGAAGTGAATCAAAGTCCTGCATCCATGATCTTCACAGCTGACCGCTCTCATTTTTGACCCTACCCTCCATTCCCCTCTACTGCTCTCTTCTCTTTCAGATACCCAGCAGTGGTGTCCCCAACCTCCTCCAGCTCTTTACCTTGCCAGCATCACAGATTGGGTGAAATGTAGTAATTGACAGGTGTGGTGTGTCCTATATTTTTGCAGTGTATTTAATCTTACACTCCACTACATCCAATGATCTTAAATATATTAATGACTTGGGGTGAGGTTGAAGCTAGATAGCAAGTTGTTGAAGTGTGCAGATATCACGTTTTGGTTAGGAAAAATGAAGGTGAAATTCCCGCTGGATTTTTAAACATCTTGGATGAGTTGAGCCAGAAGATGAATGGTAAAATGGAAATCCAAAGAATTAAATTACACTAGAGCATGTGCCCACTATTTGGTAGATTACTGTGTCCAATTTCAGCCACTTCACCTCAAGAGAGAGAGTTTGCAGTGTTGTTGTAGCCATGTTCGTCCCAAGATATGGGAGAGACAAGGTGGGGTTAGGGAATATCTTTTATTGGACCAAATTCTGTTGGTGAAAGAGACATGCTTTTGAGCTACACAGAGCTCTTCTTCAGGTCTAGAGATGGTATTCAGAGTGTCACAGCTAAATACAAGGTGGAACAGATTGTAAAGCATAAAGAGTTAACACATGTTGCAAGAGACCATTCAGGGTTTCAAAAAGCATGCGGTGTACCTCATCCAGTGCACTAAATGCCCCAATAACAATTATGTGGGTGAAACCAGACAGTCACTATGCTCTCGAATGAACTCACACAGAAAAATGATGAAAGACAAAAACACCTTATTACCCGTGGGTGAACGCTTTTCACAAAACGATCACTCCATATCTGACTTTTTAATCCTCATTCCTCAAAGGAAACCTGCATAATGCCTTCAAAAGATGAGCCAAGGAATTTATAACTTGGCTGGACACTAAAAATAATCAACTCAGTAAAAACACCGGATTTATGGTTCATTACAACAATCTGTAACCCACTAACCCTCCTTAGTCCTGTGACTGCAGAGGCATTAACTGCCTACGTCAGCTTGAATGGTCTCTTGCAACATGTGTTAGCTCCTTATGTTTAACAATCTTTTCCACCTTGTATTTAGCTGTGACACTCTCAGTACATTTCCCAGAACTGATGAAGAGCTCTGTGTAAACTCGAAAGCTTGTCTCTTCCACCAGGAGAAGTTGGTCCAATAAAAGATATTACCTTGCCCACCTTGTCTCTCAATGGAAAGAGAACATATTCAGAGAATGGCAGTACCTGGAGGCTTGTTGTAACATGTTCCTTCACTAGACACAATGGGAACCGCTTTCTCTGATTGTGCAAGCCAGTTTGTTTCATCTATACCCATTAGTTACAAAGTCCATTTTATTTGATTCAATAGAATAAAACAAACAAGATTTTCTATTAACATTCAATGGTGTATACGTGTTACAATATGAAGGCTGGTTATCATAGTTTGGGTCTTATTCAGAGCAACCAAACACAGATAAGCCAGCCAGATTTGTACTAGGGATCAGACCAGTCCCTCTAATCAATAGCATGAGCAGATAAACATAAAACAGAAATAAAATGCTTTAAAATGTTTGGTACAGAAATTGAATGTAAGTGATCAAAAGGAACAGGAAGTGTTTATCCTGGAAACCAGAAAGCTGTACACTTCTAAGCATTATCTCTGAACACAATGTATTTGCTACCATAGTATTTTAAGGTGTGTTTGCGGGGTGACTAATTAGGAGCTTTCATATCTGAAAAACAACCCATACAGGCACCTCAATCTCTTTCTTGTTTTCCACCTAGAGCAAAACAGAGGCAATAGCTTTTTTTTTATCACGCTTGGGGGAGAAGAGGAGGGAAAAATCAGCTTTGCCTATAAGTGGAATAAGACAAAGAAGCAGTTGTGGTTCTGGGACACGTTTCACTAGCCAGATCATTGCTGGGTGCAGCAGCTGAGAAATGGAGCCATTGTGCTGCTGAAATCCTACAGGAACTGCCAGAGCCAGAAAATAAAAAAAATAGCATCAAAGCAGTGTGGATAAATCTCTAATTTCCGTGTAGGTCTCATGATAGATATGGAAGGTCACTTCTGATTATGCTAATTAAGCATTGTGGGCCAGATCCTCAGCTGGTGTATGCAGGTCCATTGAATCCGGTCCCTTCTTTAAATACAAAAGCTAGTTTTAAACTGTACTTACAACTGCTTGTAGCATCCATTCACTGAAATGCTTACAACTAAATCACTTCTTCTTTCTAGCTGACTTGCTGCAATGTGTTTTATCCTAATCCATATGGGCCAGATTTTCAAATGTGCTTGGCCCTTGATAGCTTATTGTTTTCATCCAGGCTGCTGAGCACTTCATTTGATGTGCTCAAATTGGAGCAGAACAGCCACTGGTATTTATGGCTATTTCTACTCTGCAGCTGGGTGCGAGCCGCCAAATCCAGGTACACAGATTCAAGCTAGCGGGGCTCGAGCTAGCACACTAACAATAGTAGTGTGGACACTGTGGCTCAGGCTTTCAAGACTAGGGGCAATGGAGAGAAAGCAGCCTTAATTAACCGGTAGAGAAGACTGGAAATATAGAGCGTTTTCTCCCTGGAAACCTTAAACTGTCTTTGAAATTAAAAGCTTAAATGAAAATAAGCATTTAGGGTCTGGCCTCTCAACGACTGAAAGTTTGATAAAGCAAAGCCTCGGGCAGGATCTGCTAAACAAATACATTGTGTATGTGCAGAGCCACAATATATGTTGTTTAAAATAACTGACTAAAGTCCAAGTTCCACACTGAGTAGCAGTTC